AGTGCGGTGCCCGGTCAGTGTGTGAGCTCGGTCAAGTTTCTCCCGCTGCCCCTGTGGCCATGGTAAAGGCCGGTATATCTTTCCTGGAGGTTAAGGACCACTTGTTTCAAGTGCAGCTGAACTGAGATGAATTCTGTTGCATTAGAACAGAACATTTCACAACATTTAGCGGGATAGACCTGGGCCAGCGCCGCTGTGTAACGTCCCCTAATTGTAAACCTCATACAGATTCATTGTGGGGGAGGGGGGAGTGTGGTATTCAATAGTAACCATTATTCTTAGATTGTGAGCTCTCATGACCAGGTACCTCCTATTCTCTTGTATTAAATTGTATTGTATTGTAACTAAACTGTTGGTCTCCTGAATAATAACAATACATAATAATATTATTATTAATAATAATAAACATTCTCTGGACTGACGACCGTAGGCTTTTATATGTATATGTGTATCTAGTGGCCAAATAACCAGAAACCCCTTCAGTACTGTGTTCAACCACCTTTGTCCCTGGTAACAGTTCCCACATGCCAGTAACTCCAAAGGCCCTGTAAGTTCCCTCTACTAAAGCCAACCATAGACTTGTTTTCTTATGCAAGCATGGCGAGTGAACATTCTGCTCTATATATCTCTCGATCTCATCTACAACCCATACATCTGAAGTATGATGTATCGTGTCCCCTTATATTAATTGTTGAACTCCACAGTTGTGTTGTGATGTTAAAGACAAGGCCATCCCTTTAACAAGTCAGCCTTAAGTTGTTGCCTCATGTGGGGGGGCAATGTTTGCAGTGTGCCTACTGCCCCCTTTCCGGCCAGAACAACCCAGGTTGCTAAGAGTTGGGCGGGTAGAGATGTTTAAGGCCCATACACATCTCCCCGCTCAGGTCTTAGCAACCTGGGACCAGGGGCGGATCCAGAGTCCAGTCTCGGGAGGGGCAATGCCAGAAAATAAGGGGTTGCTGACATAACAGAGTATTGCACTAATACCTTAAGTTGCAGTTGTTTGTTATGTATAACAGCAATTGTGCCTTTTTTTACACATGCTACCACTTTTGTGTGCAGGATTGGAATCTCTGCCAAACATTTGGCACATTACTGTTATTAAAATGGGTCTGTCATCTACACTGCTCATTACTGTGTTTTATTGCTGTGGAGCTTTGTGGCGCAATGCTAGGGGTGACCGCTGTGACCCTGGCAGTTCTGCCACTGTATAGAGGACTACAAATTCCAGCAATACATTATACAGCAATGCAGAATACCACCAGCTATAAAGGACTAAAAATCCTAGCAATACTTTACGCAGCAATACAGAATGGCGCTGGCTATAGAGGACTACAAATCACAGAACTAAATTATGCAGCAATGCAGAAAAATACCATCAGCTATAGAGGACTACAAATCCCAACAAAACATTATACAACAGAATCATAGTATATGAATTTGCTACATTCTCTGTGCTGCCGCAGTGATCAGGGTTGCGGGTCTGATGTCTCAGGCGGAGGGGTGTGGTGGAGGGTCTCAGAAGGGGTGCGGAGGCTGTCAGGAGGTGTGCGGAGGGTCTCAGGAGGTGTGCGGAAGGTCTCAGAAGGGGTGCGGAAGGTCTCAGGAGGGGTCTGGAGGGTCTGCGAAAGGATGCAGAGAGTCCCCAGAGGAGGAGATGTGGGGGCAGCAGAAGCGCTTCCCAAGAAGGCTGCCGAAAGGTCCCCAGCAAGAGTGGGACCTAACGCAGCCGTATCAATGTAAAAATTAAAAGCGTCTGTATTAGTCTTTTGTATAGGGGCATTTTTACGAGTACTCCTACTCGTAAACATGCCCAGTATTGGCACCAATAACGATACTCAGATCAGTGCATGCCCAGCTGAAACTTTTTCAGGCTTCACCATGTGCTCATCTGAGGGATATGTTGGCACAACAAGCAGTGGGTGACACCAAGCACCCCCAAGGACTACAAGTGCAGATGCCCCATGTTCGCAGGAGAAGATCAGTGCAGTATAGGTGTATATATCCAATATATATTGGAGTTTAGAACTTGGTCTATAGATTGCATTGCACCTTGCCGATAAACCCTTGGAAAGCCGCATTGAACAAATCTATCGGTGACCTGTCTAGACGGAAGGGGTATTTTAGTCCATCATATTTTTAGGGCTACTAGGTATCCCGGTCATTGCTAGGGCCTGGAAGCAGCCCGCATTGCAATTTACAGAAGTTAAGCGGAGAGTCACTGGCACCATGATCAATGAGAAGTTGACTGCTATTCTTCATGACAAACATCCTAAATTCCTTTGGATTAGCTACCTTCATGCGGGTGGGTTTGATTCTGCTGTGCTGCATCTTTGACCCACCCGCATGTTCGCATGGTCCCTTCCTGGTGGTCAGTTTCTTCCCTTTTTTTTTTTTTACCTCTTTTTTTGTTCTTCTTCTTCTCCTTCTTCTTGCTTACTTTCTCTTCTTCTTTTTTTCTCTTTTTTCTTGTTCTACTCTTCCACCCTGATATTTCTAATTGTCCCAATATGCACTGCCATGTAGACATGTGTGATTCGTTTCCGAAATTCAGACATTCGGACACATCTGAATTTCCGAATCCCAATGCATCTGAATGCATTCCAATACCAATTTCCATTTTTGGCCAATCAGATGTGTTTTTCGGTTTAATGCATCCAAATGGGTCTGAACATGAATTTTCATTACAGCAACATGGGAGCCATATACACAGGGGCGTCCCGAGGCCGGGTGTCACCCGTGTGCGGGCCGCACCCCCCGCACTCCCCTTGTGATGCCACTGACTCCAGCAGTTGTGGAACTACAAGACCCATGAGGGATTGCAAGACTCTGACAGCCACAGGCATGACGCCCAGAGGCAGAGGCATGATGGGATTGGTAGTTTCAACACAGTTGTACGCCTGTAGTAGAAACTCAAACAGCATGTATGAAGGGGAAGGGGATGAGAGGGAAAAATAATTTCTGTTTTTTTATTTTATACAAAATGCAAAGTGAGGTTGCATACAACGGTTGGTAGAGTTGTGCTTGGACCCCATGACTCCGACCTTATGGGGTGAAACTACAAATCCCATGATGCATCTGTCTCTGGGAGTCATGTCTGTGGCTGTGAGAATCTTGCAATGCCTTATGTGATTTGTAGTTTCACCACAGCTGGAGGGCCGGAGGTTCCCCAATCCCCACCCCTTTTCAAAAATAAAGAAGATATACTCACCTGATCCTTGATCATGTGGTGGTGCCCTCTCACCTCCCTCCCCCCGCTCTGGATGTCCCTTGGGGTCCTTATGTTCAGTGCAAGTCAATGGACGTGATGATGTCACGGATCCTTAGTGAGGATCTGGTAAGTATTTCATTTTTATTATACACCCCAGGCAAAAATGAGCACTTAACCCTTGCAGTGCGGGGTAGCCCCGCTGCATTTTAAAATGTCCAGTGTTCCTTTTAATGGTATATGTTAACCCAATTTTTTTTTTTTTTGGATTGATTGCAGAAGGTTTAGAAACCCAACGCATGTTGGGTTTTTACTGCTATCCGAGGCTCTGTTACGGAGGTCACCCCTCACTTCCTGTCCCAGTGACAATGGTTTTACTGGACAGGAAGTGGGGGAAACTCTCCTACAGGGACACAGTAAGAAATAGAAAGCTTACAGGCACCCAGGTGACACCATTGGAGGGGTGACACCAAAATGACTGACAGTATATATATCTATCAAACGTCAGGTGGTCATAATAATCTGGCCACTCGGTGTATGTTTATACACATATATACTGTATATACATATTGCACATATGCCTCTATTAGTTCCTGTGTTTTCTGCCTCACGAAGGGCATGTTCTGTCCTGAAACTGTTGCTATACTTTGAAACACCTCTGTATGTTGTTTTTGTTTTTTCTGTTTTTGAAGAAATTTTTTTTTGACATCGACCGACGCCGGTGAACCGGGGGGCTGCCGACCGACTTGGGTGCCCGGAACGTGGCCCTTCTTGGGCGTCGTGGGGGGTTTTTACTGGAGAGGATCGGGGGCACCATCCGAGCTGACCGTCCTGCTGGAGATGGGTTGGCGATGCTGGGCTTGTTTATTGTGTTTTGCTAATGCTGAACTTGCAATGTAGTCGGTTGCACTTTGCTAGTACGAATGACATCGGGGTCGTTGGGCTGTAAGTGCATGCTTGTTTAACTCGGTGCCTGCTGAGAACAAGCCGTAGGGCCACTTAACATGGGTGAGGACAGGTGCGGCTATGAGGGTGGCTTGTTGAGCTCACTGATGGAGTTTGCGTTTGACAGTCGCGGGGAGTTCTGATGTATGTACTAACACTTGCCTTGGTCCTTCCGTTGATCCCAGCGTCAGGCTGTTAGCTCAAAGTTAGCTGCTGTGTCTTTTAATTATTTTTTCTTTTTCCAGGGGCAGATTGCCGTTGGCTCATTAACATCTAAGCGTGCTAATTAGCGTTCTGTTCTGGGCGACAGGCTACCGAATTTGATGTTATCGTTATTATCTAAATAATAATCTTAAATTGTAGTCTCGTACCGCGAACAGGTGACATGTTTCTTGAAAGTGCCAAGGCATGGTTCAGCTTTGTCCCAAGGAACACAAAACACCTTACAACTCCTCATGGTGACTCTGCTATTGGCTACACTTTGGTAGGCTGTCCCTTCCAGTCCCAAATCCCGCTACAAAAACCATTCCTTCTCTCCTTGTCCACCCTCCCCTTCTCTGACCATTAAAAATAAATGATTATAAGATCACGCCTTCATTTCCATGTGTATGGAAATGCGCCCGGCTTTAACTCTTTCCTGCCCTGGCTGTCGAGCAAAATAATTATACAAAAATGTTGTTTTTATTTTTTTGCTGCCCTCCTCTGGTCTCTGGTTGACCCTTACTTGCAACAATATTGCCATTGCAAAAAAAAGAAAAAAAAAAAACAACAATGTTGTGAGATGCCATATATAGTGCTAGAGCAGGATGCATCAAAATACCCATCATTCATAACGGCAGGATTCAGAGCAAAGTTGCATTGGGCACAGTAAGACATGCAGAAGGCATTCTAAAACATAGGGTTGTATTCGTAGGTGAACCGAACTAGCCATGTTCCGGATTTTAGACAGATTCATGAGGGTGAGTATGCTGCTTTTATATTATTGAATTTAAATGCATATTATATATATATATATATATATAATTATATATAGATATATACAGATATAGACGTAGAAAGTAGACTAAGACTAAAGGATGTTATAGTTACGTATCTGACTTTCCTTTGCAGTACAGAAGTACTTATTTATTTATTTTTGAGGTTTTTTCATCTTTTTTTTATTAATATTGACACAATGCCTAAATTAGCTTAGCAGCACCTGACTCAATTGAAGAATCAATTAGCATTTGTTGGTCAACATCAAGAGGCTGAATGACTCAAGGGACAATTTTCGCCCTAGCCTACGCTTACTTACACAAACCAAATCAGATGGAGGGGCAATTTCAAGAACAGAGACTCTCATGAGCCGTGCTGGGTATTCAGCGTGACTGCAGACCGGCGTGCAAATGACCCCCTTAGTAAATCAGCCCCGGGGATTAAAGGATGGGGGGGGTCCTCGAAAAAGCATCCCACAGGTTGATGCCGTGTTGTTTTAGCTATTGATGCTGAATGAGGTACCGCTTTTTTTTTGGGTGGAATGCACAGTGCTGTGTCCGCCCATGCTTTCTAGTAGTTATTTTCTTTGTGACAGATCCTCACGGGGCCTTTTGTGTTCGAACAAAAGTTACAAGAATTGGCAGTACCTCTGTTTACACTGCTCTGAGCTCTATGTGCTGTTTGTGCTGCAGACATAAGCGTCGATAACCCTTTGCCTGCAAGAGAAGGGAGCTAGCAGATGACTCTGTAGGGGGGAAAGAGTTGGGGATGGGGGGCATCAGTGGCACTTGTCACCATAACATCTTGGCTTTCATCTAAAAACTATATCATTGGATATACCTTATAGTATATATTTGCTCGGTCGCATTTCTTACGCAGGTCTGAATTTGCATTTACAGTTTTGCCTTCCGAGGAAAGTTTAGGTGACACCAGAGTACTTAGACGCCTCGTCTAAAAAATGCGTTGGTTTTTGCCCATGTGCAGGAGTTTATATTTTGTTGCAGATGGATGTGCGGGGTGGGAGCTGTGCAGGGTTGAAGGGGTTAAATAGCATGTTTTGAATGCGTTATATAGGTATGCAAAGAGCGATTTAAAGTATGTTTAACTAGGTCCACATTGACAACATATTGCATCAATATTTGTATACACAATGTATTTGTATATACAATGCTTATGTACCATGAATACATTCATGTGTGTGTTTATGTGTGCATTAGCGCATATGACATAGTTATGCATGCCTATGTATGTTATAATATGGGAATGCGCCTGATATGTGTTTGAACACAAAAGTATTACATGAGAGCGACAATGACACATTTAGTAAACACCTAAATGAGGTTTTAAAAAAGCCACATGCACAGTCAGTAGTCCTGCAGATCCATACCCTTCCCTTTCATTGTAGTCAGCCAGCAGCCTGCTAGCACTACAGGCCTATGTAAATAAGGCACACGCTTGCTTGTCCCCTTTGCTGGATGTACTCTGCCCCTGTAAAGTGTTGCATGCTGGGTGCTTAAGTGGATTCTTTCCACCTATTTATTTAATGTGAGCTGGGGGGGACCGTGAGACTGTTGCTTCTTTTCAATATTTACTGTACTGACTCTATATAGGCTTAAAAATCTGCGAAAGTTATAACGCGTAGACGTCAAATAGATTATGCTTATAGCGTGATATTATAAAGTCTATTAGGAGAGAGATATGTTGTATTGGCAATGCATGTGTTGCTGCTTATACTGTGTTTCTCAATATATGTGTGTGTGTGTGTGTGTGTGTGTGTGTGTGTGTGTGTGTGTATGTGTTTATCATATAATATTTAAATATATTCAACATATATGTTTATGTGCTTTTGTTATTACCATCTGTGTATGTATGTATATGTATATGTGTTTTTTTAAATATGTATATCTGTCTATCTTCATCTCAAATAATATATATTTGTAATCTAAAATATATATAATTTATTATTTTTTTTACTCAAAAATGTATACATATTATATGTAATTCTTTTTTTTTCATATATATCTCAGGTAATATGCATTTTTCATTTTAAAAAGCTTTGCCTACATGACAGCTAATATGAAATGGTTTATATTTATAAGAAGGGTGGTAATATTAGGAAATCAGCAGCATCAGTAATATATACTAATAGAATATGTGACCATTCCAGGCACAACCATAGATCAATATTATAATTGCAGTGCTGAATATTACCACTGGGTGCCACTGTGGTCCCTCCTTCGGTTCTGCACTTTGCTAGGTCACAGAGATAAGATTGAGTGAAATTGGTTTGCAGCTCATGGATTAAGATGAAAAAAAAAAGAAAAAAAATTAAACCTAGTGTTCTCCGTTTTGCTTTTTCTGCTATTAACAAGGAAATATCAACTATCCCAGCCTGCAGACAATTTGAGGATTAGATGGGTTAAGCCTTAGTATCCACAGCTACTTTTGTTAGCTATCCTGTATTATATTATGTCAGATTGACTCATTTGTTAATTGATGTTCATTAGCAAATTTGAACAACAAAGACATGCAGTTGGTCACCTGAGTTTAATGTGGCGGTGCTGCGGCTTAGTAACATCTGTTTGCAAATGTTTGGCTGTTGAGAAGAGCTGTGACAGTAGCTTTGCGATTGAGTTCAATGTGAAATTAAACCTTCTGAAATGCATAAAGAATATAAAGTCCATCTGCCTGGGCCTCTTTTTTAAAAGTCTAGTCATAACTACAGTGCACTGGGGTGCCCCACTGCCTTGGTGGTGGAAATCTGGTGCGTTCCCAAGCCTTCTTGCATGTCAGATATCCCGTTGGCTCCCATGAATTTATATAGCACTTTTCTCCCTGGGGATTTAAGGCGCTTTATATACTGTTGCGGAAGATGGTGAGGCAGCCATCTTGGGTGCACTCATTAGAATATCATACTAGGGCAAATTTTAGACAGAAGTCAATAAACCTGCCAGCATGCCTTTGGAGTGTGGGAGATAACTCATGCAAGTTCCATGCCTTGACCAAGACTTAAACTGAGCACTCCAGTGCTGCAAGGCATAAGTGCTTACCACTGAGCCACTCATTTCCCATTGTAAGCTTTGTTTAGACATAGAGAGAGAGAGAAAGCAAAGTTGCACACCAAAGAACAATGTGACAAGAGGCTATAGGCCTCTTCTCCAATAGGAATAGGAGTTAAACTTACAGGACTTAACTGCAAGACAGGGGCACTAAGAGCCACCATGGATCCTGAGACACATTTCTGGGCCCCTTACCTTGAGGTGAAGCCTGTCAGGATTTAGAACATGTACAAGTATACATACCTACCTACTTTCTGAAACGAGAAAGAGGGGCACCCTCCAGCCCTATGTTTAGGCAATGGACGCACCCCTGCTACACCCCCAGTTATTGGTTAAACCTAGAATTGTTTTTTGGGTTGGTATATTGGCTTTTTGAAGCAGCAAACAAGATAATGAAGGGGGTAGGATGACGTTTTAGTGCAGAATAACACTTTTGGTAGTTAAATAGAACCCTTTATAGATATCTGTACATCAGACCATTTGAGGAAGAAAGAGGGACCTGGTTCCAAATGAGGGACAGTTCCTTCAAATGAGGACATTAGGGAGGTTTGGACATACAGTAGCAGCCCAAGCGGCTGCTATGGGGCCCTGGTAGAGGGTGTACTTGGTCCATGTCTGTAATCAGTTTGTACAAACAAAATTTGCTCTTTAACTATTATTTCTTTCTGAAGGTTTCTCTGATTGGTGGCTCGGGTGTTGAGAAGTGCAGACTACATTTCTGAGCAGTGATCACATGCCGACCTACCTGCACCAGCTGAGTTCCAACCTATGGTGAAGGAGAAGCTCATCTCCTTTGCTACATAGCACAGGCTTAGCACAGCACGACCCTTGAGGATGAAGCTATATCCTGAGTAGACCATGTATTGATCCATGTAGATTGCCTGGCTACAACTTCTATGTGTTTAATTACAGTGGCCAGCAGTGGTAGAGAAAGGATCCCTATAGGTGTGCATTATGGGATGACCAGCTCTGATCACCAATAATTAGGAGGTATGGATAACACTGCATGTATGCATGTAGACCACCTGCCACTGATGGGGACCCATTAAAGTGACTTCTAGTTACGTCTCTGGGTCCATAGCTCTGGAACCCACCAACTCTTTCCTTGTAGATGCATCCCGCTCATAGAGGTTGCAACACACTATGCCACACCTCACAAAAGCAGTACTGTTTCCAATAAGCTTGAAGAGATACAATGTAGGTGTACTATAGTGTTCTAGATCAAAAGCAGAGTGTGCAATAATCCACTATATATGTAAAGAGTCAAACCCTCAAGATTATATTTTGCTCTATAGTATCATAAACAAAAGATACAGCAGGCATGGAATCCTTTAACATCAATGTAAATGTGTGACACACCAAAAAAATGCCCTGCTCCAAGATGGACCCTGGTGCTCTGTCCTCCCCCACACCCAATGCATGCAATGTATTATATAGCAACTACATTACCATGAATGGCATGGACTCCCTGACTACCTTGATTCTTTGATAACATAAAAGCAGAACTCCAGGCAAATATAAAGGTAAAAAGAGAATGCAGCTTTGTATTCATTAATACTTTATTAAATGCATATTTTTTTTAAATGCAAGCAGTGCACGTATCTAAAATTGATTTGGTACTTGGCTTTATCGTCCAGGCTGGGAGAGGAAGGGGCACAAATAGTGATTCAGTTGTACTGCAGTGCTCATGTGCTAACAAGGACATGTTGAATGGACGAGAGAGCAGAGTGACAGAGAGATGAGGTCATCAATCTGCCGCTTCTCCTTCACTGTCCAGTCATAGGCTGGGGGAAGGACAAGACCTGTTAGTGTCAAATAACTGCAGCAAAGAAAAATCAGGTCTCCTCACCTGCTAGGCAGGGCTGTGCTGTGTGCCAGGGCTGGATGGACAGAAATGCAAATCCTTTGTCAGGTGGGAAAACTCC